TCGGAAAGTGAAATTAATCGTTGTCGAAATAGAAGAGGAATTTAATAATCGATATACATACGTCATTCTACCTGCGAATTGCCTTTAGTCATGGGGTATATACGTATAGTATACAACGCGCAACTCGATGAACTAAAATATTCGAAGAATATAAATTGACGATTAAATGTCGCAGTTAACGCATTAATTAATCGCTTCGATATTATTCCTGATCATCGCGGAATGTTAGCTCGTCGAAACTTTAAACTCTATTGTCGAACCCCCTGTGCTGCGGATTTCTGCGATAATTTTCGAGGTAACACCAAAGCAGGCGCGCTGGATACTCGGTTAGGTCGTTTTAAAAACGACGATAAGCGACGGTGGAGGATTTTTAGCAGCGTCCATTGGCGGTTCCGCGGCGCGAAATTTTCTTTTTCAACGGAGGGTGAATCGCCTGGCGAACGCATAACGCGTAATTACTGTCCACCGAGTGGCGGAGGCGAGCGTTTATGTGCCGGCCATGTAACGTCCAGTTATACCAGGCTCGTCGATGGTCGTCATTTACAGCGATGTCGCATTGGCCAGCAGCCGTGTGTGCACGCGTGTTGGCGCGAGGCTATTTATGAATTGACACCGCATTAGGGATATTGCTTAACAATAGCGACACTGTTAGCTCGTCGAAGGGTCGGCGTGAAAAGCTGTTATTTTGAAACGTGTTATCGTTGCAAGTAGTAATTGCGAGATTGCTGAACACCGACCAGGAACACCGTGGCACGCGTTACATATCCATTCCACGGTATTTCGAGCTTAAGCAAAAGTGTCGTGATTATAGCCAATTAAGGGCTCCTTCTACGAGCCTGGCCCGAGAAGAAAGATATTTGAAAATTTTTTTCGAACAAACCACGAGTCTTTTCGACACGAGATTCGCGGGATCTTATTTACTCATATTCTTAGAATACTCGTAATTTTTTTCGATGAAAAATATTAGAAATTACAGGAATTACGTGACGATATATATAGGCAGGTTTAAAAGATGGCTGATAAGACAGCAGCTACTCCGTTTATCAGGAATTGAAAATTCTGGTAGCATTTTGGACGAAATTATTAAATTAATTTATTTATTCGTCTATTTTTAATAAACTGTAAATTTTGGATTTAAAATTAGCTATGTTCATTGTGACTATAATATTATTACTGTTAGGTAGGGAGGTTTAGAAAAAAATGACGAAATATTGCTTTCAAATACCGATTTTCCCCTGCATTTTTAACCTTCGAGTTTGACAAATTTTCTATATATGAATAACAAAATTAAAAAATTCGTAGTTGCAACTATACGAGCACGCGTGTCGAAGATCGTAAACCGGCGTAACTTTCGATCGGGATAGTCATGAATTTCGATGGGGTCGCACCCTGTCTCGCGGCTGACTGCCACCTCGTCGCTCTTCCATTAGACTTTCATTAGAGGCTTGCACGCTCCTTTTTCGTAGGTTGAAAAATTCATCGAATCGCGTCTTATTAATTTCTTTTCCACCCCCGACCCCTCTCTCGCGGGACCTCGTGTAAGTAACTATGCGCAGAACTTGCGTTTATATTCTGTAATTAATTAACGTGGCTCACAGTCAGCCTGAAAGAAAACTTTGTATGGACATCGTTGTAATTAAATTCGTTGCTGCGTTTTCAATTAAAAATGAAAAAAAGACAGAGAGAGAGAGAGAGAGAAAGAGAGCGAGAGAGGGAGAGAGGGGGGCGGGTGGAGGTCGGGGACGAATGGGTGGGGATGGAAGAAAGAAAGAGGTGAAAATTATGAAAGAGGGTTACGTAATTTCTGACACGTTCTTTGCGGCTCCTTCCGCGAACGCGTTCCAATAGAACGCTCGAATTCGTAATTAGAAAAGTCAAACGGCAAAGCGGCCGCCACCTGGCGGAAGAAAGCGAATTTTTTTGACAACAATAAGGCGAAAGGCCGCGGTGAAATACACCGGGTACGCGTTTTTTACTCCTCGCCTCGTTACGCCGATGCCTTTTTGCACGGTTCCCTCATTACTTCTCAGCGACAAAGACACACAGGCTTAGAATTAATACTACATATTGAAACTATCGTGCGGACACTTTGCTAGGTCTCAGCGTTCCTCTTTGTCGCGTCTCTTTGCCGGCAGATTTTTAACGGCTGACCCATTGTGTCTTCAGGCCACAGATTCTTGAGCGAACTGTTACCCACTGCCATTCATTCCACGTTCTTTTAACCCTGTGCAAATAACGCGTCGTGGAAAATACGTTTGTTATTATGCTTATTATAACCGGGATAATGACAGAATGAGCAACATACGGTTTAGCTCTATCAGCCTGCCATACACAGAAACGCGTTCTTTCCTCTTTCGCGCTTCTTACAAAAGTTTCTACTCGCCCAAAGGGAACTTGGAATTAAATTTCATGACTCGATTAACGCGACTAAATTGCGAGCTCCTAAGCTCCTCTCGCGTGTAATTTAACGACTTCCCGATTATTCAATGATCAGTCTATATGTACGAACGTTGAAACACCAATTGGGACCAATTTTCCTTCACGAGAGACGTCACTGGAGAAACGCGATTTTTAAAATTTATTTCGAAAAAGACTAAATTTGTCAATTATATCCACCCCATATATATCTCTAGAACATCAATCGGTAGCAGTACGACAATTTTCAAAGTCAGGAATAAATAGAACCCACTCTTCTCGTATGACACGTGTAATTTCTAAATCGACCCGTTTACGTGTTCCACATCGTTCAAATTTTTCGAATTATTTTCCCAAGGAATCCGAAGTCGAATCTCGAAGGACCCGAAACACGTTCACCCGGCACGCGGGATCTTGACGCGTAAATACAACATCCCGTCCTAGAAACGAAAGCAGGCCGAACAAGGGAAAACGGGGGTGGCGCGATTTAAAAATGAGCAACGAGAGGCTTTGTTTGTCAGGGCGATTCTCAAAGGCGGCAAAGCGGACGCGGGCTGCAAGGTGCGCGTGCGCGCGCGCGCGTGAAGTGCATAAACTTCCTGTGACGCGGGCGGCCGAAGGCACAAAACCGCGTGCAAGTTGCGGACGGCGAATGCGCGCGATATAAAACGCCTTTGTCTTGCAAAAACCCGCAGACGTATATCATGCGAGGCCAGGCCACCAGCGGGCATTGTTTCACTCTCGCATAATTACCGCGAGTCACGTTTTAAAGTTGAATTTCACCTAAATAAAGCTTAATGTTATTATCGCGGCGAACGGCGAGCCGCTGCCGCCATTATGAGCTGGTTACAGTCTCAAACGTCATTGTGCCGGGCGCGGTGATCGTTTTCACGATATTAAGGCGAAACGACGTTTTTCCACTGTTTTTAACCACGGCAACCCGTCGCGATCGACGTTAATTAGATGCATGCCCGCGAGCGTTACCGGTGCTGCTGGATATACTCTTGAATGCCTGCTAACTTGGTAACACCGACTCTGCCTGCTTTCTTTGTGTGTCTTTTTTTATTTTATAAAGGATCCCGTTCGTTTACCCGCGGCTGGCAATGTTGATTTTGCCGTGGGATTTAATAAAGGGAAAAAAGGAGACGTTTACGAGCCACTAACTTTTTGATCTTCGAGGCATTGTGCCGTGTTTGCGTGTATTTGTCGGTATATCGATGAACTCGGTCGTTATACGCGTTTCTAACCGGGGAATTTTATTTCTGTAATTGTCTTTCGAATTCTTGAGCTGGTACTCGCGAGGGAAGTTAGCCGAATGGGCAACTTGTAACGATTTGAGTGGTACTGTGTATTTAACCCTTTGCGCTCGACGATTTTTTGGCTAAAGAGAGGCACGAGTTGAAAAATTTTCTTCCATAAGGCTGATGATATTTTTTCAGCAGTAAATAAGAAATCGTAGAATTATTCAATTTCGATACCTCGCGCACGGTTACGTTATTTTAAATTTGATGTATTAATGTCGAGCTTCGAAATTTGATCGAATGGTGACCTAGAGGCACCTCCCGACTGCAAAGGGTTAATATTAAATACGATATTAGACGTGGCGCGTGTATAAAATATTTTTCATATCGTTCGATTCGCGATGTAATATTTAAGGGATGAAGTAGCGTACTTTGTAGTCGTTCCTTTCTCAACCCCTTGCGCTGCAGCGGCGAGTCTAGTTCGTTGCGAGTATCTAAAAACGAGATAGATATTTGGACGATCTGTCTACGGATTAATTAAAGTTAAACGCTCTTTCGTGGCACAACTTCGCATAATTAAATCGCAGCGCAAGGGGTTAAAAATAGCTGCCCATCCTGGTAACTACCCCCGTACGAGATTGATACTATCGCGCAATAATTCATCGGCTCGACGTTCCGAAGCACGTTACGCTAGTAAATTGCGGAAAACCGAGCCACGAAGAATCTTCGTATACGGGGACAGAGCTAGAAAGGCAGTGGCGAAAGCCAAGGGTGGTGGTTACCCTTAAATTTAGCAGCGACGTGGCCCCGGAACGCTGCGCGTCGTCATTGACGTCAATGCTAAATCGAGAAATTAATTACTAAAATTGCAAGAAAAACCGGAGCGGGTCGATAACTGATACAACTTCATTAAATTTGCCGATCGATGAGGAGTGGTGAACGCGGCGGCGCGGGCAAAAAATCAGGCTATTATCCCGCCGAAAACGGCGGTATTGATAAAACCCGCGTCGCGATCACGGCCGACCGGACAAACACAATGATAGCGAACGAACGAAATTTTTTTTCTCCCCTGCCAAACCCCCTCCGCCCGTCTGCCCCCTATTCCCGACCGAACCCCCGCCCCTGTGCCACCCCTTTCGTGCGTCGTTGCTGCAAAACTCCGTCCGTGGGTATAAAAGTCGGCGTAATAAGCGGCGAGCGTCCGAAAGGGGTCGAAAGGGGTGGATTAACCGACGGCGGCCGTTGATGGAACAACGTAATGCATACGTGATGTTTAATTAATCAATTAATAACCGTATTATTGTTTTGTTTAATTAAAAATAATGAATCTCTCTCTGTCTGTAGCGTTGGTGGGCGGATTTACAAGCACAACCGGCGTCGGCATCATCCACCGTACGTATCAATCGCATTTGAAAGCTGACGCAGGCTACGGATGAGCCTCCGTTATGTATCTGTGCTTTTGTCGATATACGACAGGTTTTGTTTCATATTTTTCTTTGTTCATATTGCCCTCACATCGCTTTCTCCTTGTCGCCGAGTCGATCATGAGTAATTTCATCATCAGCGTTTTTCTTTTTCTTTTATGCACGAGCGAATTAGTGGATTTTAGTGGACCTTAGCCGCGGGATTGTGGGGGTGGGAGTTCACTTTGCCGGGGGTGCTGGGAACGGACATGTAGATGTAGAGCTTTCTCACTGCAAGGGGTTGCAATGGAAACGATGGTAGAATGGTAGATTTAAGAATAAATCTGTGTTTACTGATCACGGAGCGAACGTACTTTATTATTCGTTCGTCAAGTGTCACGAATTTCAACGTTTTCGGAGTTCGCGAGTCTTTATTCCGGGAATTCGACGATTCGACATTTCGCCTGTTTTATAATGAATTTAAAACCTTCGAGAATGATTAAAATATCTGGAAGTTTTGAAATTCGTGTACGGATACGATCCGGGTCAAAATGATAGCACCCAAATTACCCACGATTTAATTTCTTTCCTATAATAACCGCGTTAGAAGATTATCGATTTTTATTATATTTCCGAAAATATTCCAAGTATAATAATTTTTTCCAATACCTTTATCGACTGCGTCTAACAATACTAGACTTCTGTTAATTCATAATCGCGTAAGACTTATTTTTCATCGAAGAAGTCCAAAGAATGGTAGCCACGCGATATTCTTTCCTCCGGGATGTAGCGTTTGGAAATTTCCCTAGAAAGAACGAAGAATTACGCGGTGTGCTATCATTTCGTCCAGGGGCGTATGTCGATCGAATTCGGAGACGCCCCGATAAGGACACGAGCGGGCGGCTTTACGCCGAAAGCCAACGCGTGCACGTTCCGGTTGACGGTTTATATTTCGCTAGCAGTCGATTTTAATAAACTCGATGTAAACGGTTGGCCCCTACCCTTTGTGGAGAAAGTTTCCGGGAGAGCGCGCCGATTTTTAAATATAGTGTGCCCGGTAGGTTTGGGCAGCAACGTGAGCCGGGTCGGGTGGGAACCGTGGCACCGTCAAAGCTTTTCGCAAGCGTTCTCCGCTTGCCTCGTTGATCCACGAAAAAGGCTCGCCATCCGTGGAATCTTTTGTTTATAATTTTTTTGATCATTACCCAACAGGCTACTAATTCCGCCGGCGGGTGCATTCAAAATTTATTGGCGGCGCGACAAAACGCACCCTCCAATCTTTTTTATCTCCCTCTCTGCCCTCCGTCTCTGTTCGTCAACCGGCCAAACGCCATCGTTCTTCCCTTTTTCGCTCTCCTCATCCCTATCCCCGTCGTTCCGTGTTTCTCTTCCACTCCTGTCTCTCTGTCTGTCGCGGTCCCTCTAGCTGTCCGGTCGCTTTCAAGCGTCCCACTCCCTATTGGACAACGTTCAAAGGGTATTCAGAGTCGAAGGTCCGGAAATGGTTCGGCGAAAAAAACAGGTAGACAGAGTTAGGCACTTGTTTGTCCAGCGGATCTATCCGGGCGTTGTGATTTCCCAAAAAATTCAAATCCGATCCTGCAGTGTCCTGTATTCGTTCCTTTATCTTCCACTGATTACATGCCTGGCCATTATTGTCTTTATTCCCGTATAAATACCATTTAATACCTCCACTTCGACGTTCGGCGAATTTTTTAATCGTCGGATCCGCAAGAACCTCCACCCTTCGTGATTTCGTATTCGATGTACAGGATTGTCCACGTATCTCGTACACAAATTTACTGGGATTGATAGAAATGGTAAAATCTTTGGAAAGAATCGCTTTTACCTATATATTTCTCTTTAGCTATTATTTCTATATATAGGTATAGAAATAAGTGCATGAATCGTGTAATATGAGCCTCCCTCAACTATGCAACTCGTATATGAATCATTCTTCCTACGTCGTATACTTTGGAACGGTGTTTCTCACTCGACCTGGCACAAAAATTGCAATAAAATTTGAGAACAATTATCTTTCTACGAATTATGAAACACAATGAACCAAAGGACCTAACTAAAAATTCTGTAGTACTTCGCTACCCCAGGAAGCTTGAGAAACACCGCTGTAAAGATTGCACAGTTGTGTACAAGTCGCGACGAATCACCCTGTAGCATTCTCCCTTATTGCAACCCTGTTTCCTTTAACCCTTCGCACTCGGTCGTCCGGGGTATTCGAAACGCGGCCGCGTAGCCGCGTTTTAATTTCCAAACCGATAGAGGCCGCGCATAAATCACGCGCGTGGAACAGAAACGCTGGAGAAGTGGCCTTGTGTCGGTGTACAGTCGGATAAAGGTGCGTATTTTTTTTTTTTATTTCACCGAGTTAATTGAGATTGCTCGAAACGCAAAAAACGCATCCGATCGCGAGGCGCGGCCGCTTCCCTCTTTGATCCTGCAGTGCCGGCGTTTTTCCGGCCGCGTCGTCCGCGTAATTATCAACATTTAAACCGGCGTTCCCATAATCAAAAATGCGTGTCCCGATGCCGCTGTTGTCGCTTTTTGTTCTCCTCGAAAGCGGCCGCAGCTCGCGTTTTCGAGAGGTAATCAACATCGTCAAAGAAAGCGACAAGCGCAAGCACCCGTTAATGAGACGCGTTTACGCGTTCCGCGATACCCGCGAGCCGTGTATGCGGCATATTCGGAACGGAACGAGGGTTGGTAGCGAATCAGAATGAAAGAGGGAGGAGGAAAGAGAGAGCGAGTGAGTGAAAGGAAGGAAAAAACGGAAAAAAGTGGTAGAAGGAAAATAAAAAGAGGGCGGACAAGTGGTCTCGAGGTGGTGGGAAAAGGGTAACAGTCTGCATTCAGGGATCGCGGTATCTGGAAAGGGGTTTGGAGGCGACGCAGGGGTGGAGTAGCAAAAGCGGGGCCACGGTAGAAATAATGTGTTTAGGCGCAGGCATTTTTATCGCGCTACACCCCCGCTCCCGACTACCCCGTTCACCCCTTCAGCCCGAAGCTTTTGTTGTTTCCAATGCTTTATGTGAATTGCACTGTAAAATCTCATTATATTCGTGTGCAATGCGTCCATTATATCCTGTGCCAGAAACATTTTTCCCCACCCGATTTTTCGCCCGCACCCCCTGCCCCGTGCTCCTTTATTTTTGTTTCCTCTTTCTTCCTCTTTTTTCTCCCCCGATCTCTCCCTTTTTTTTTTTATTCGCTTTCCATTTTCTCCCTTTTTCACCTTTTTTCGGTCGCCTCGCTTTCGTTCCCTCCTCCTTTTCCCGTTCGCTCTCCCGATCCGCGTTCTCCCGACGCGTTCGTCTCTGTTCGTTGTTCGGGGCAGAAACATTCCCTAAATTTATTCGCTCGTGCGACGCGCCACGGTCTAATTTGTTTCGCCGGAGAACAACGCGCCCGATGCGAAACAACGATGGACGCTAATTACCCCGCCGCTCCGACCGATCGCTGTTCGATTTCGTCTCTCGGATCCTGTGTCGCGCGCGCCCTAGCCCGCCACCCTTTCTCCCTTCGTTCGATCTTTTGTTATGCCAGCTTTTCGTGATTTAGAGAATCGGTTGTTTGGCCGCTTGTTCCGAGCTTTCTGCGAACGGACGGCACCCGATTGCGAACCTTTTCGAACGTAATCAAAATGCATGGACCACGGACACTGGACACGACGAAAAAGCCCCGGAAAAATCTAAGGGAACTTGATTATCCGGATTTCACTGTAACCGGTGAAGCTTCGTGCGTAGAAATGCCTCGAGATAAATATCTTTGGAAACTTACGATACTCGAGGGACGGTAAAATTTCGACGCACCGATGAATTTGCCAGAAATATCGGTTCATTTTGGACGGAGACGAGATTCGAGGAGTGTTCCAAGGATTATTTGGACCTCCTGCAGGATCGAGAAGTTATCATGCCGCGGAGCCAATTAGGCAAGTCGACACAATGCGTCATCGAGTCGTTATTAAGCAGAAAGAAAGTGAGTTGGAATAAAAGTACGGGACAAACCGTTAAGCTCAGGCTGGCAAAGCGACTGGGAGGTTAATGGCGCGTCGTTGCGTATTCCAACGGTGTTTGTTTCCTCGCAGTTGGCAATAAACTAAGATAAATGAATGTCCGTAGGCTAGGCCACTATTATTCCTTCGCTCGCTGCTTACATTAAGTTGCCCCGCATTAACGGCGATGCGGAATGTATCGCGCCCATTACAAGCTCGAATTCCCGATCGAACGCTCGTCTCTCGGCGCTACGGAACACCGAGAAGCAGCGCCGGCTTTCTTCAGGAGCTCGAAATTTAGGATCCCGGTTCAGAACGTTACGTGCTTTCGGAGAAGGAGAAGAAACGGATAGATGGAAGCAGTTACCTATTATTCCCGCTACTTTCCACCAAACGCCGCCATTCCAGTCGTTCATTCACCGCGAAACACTGCTCGAACCTGCTTCGATATTTCGCGGATCTTCTAACTCCGAGATCTTAAAGATACGAAGAATGCAAATGAGAATGCGACGAGTTATATGAGTACTCACACTGGTACTTTATGGCAGCGTGAATTTGCATCGGAATATTTTATATATGCCACGATACTCACTGTCAGGAATCGGGAAAAATCATGGGAGAAATTAAGACTCGAAGGATACGAGTTGGAAGTGTCTCGTTTTCCCATTTATACGCGAAGATTTTACTATGGCATAGTGTTCGCTCTATTACTATAGAAGAGGAGACGAAAGAATTAATAAATAAAATTCCTCGTACCTACTGCAAAATTTTTAATCGTGCAAACTCATTTATTTCTGCAATGGAGGATTCAGATTAGGTGTTCATTCGTCGAAGAAGTTACGACAATATTTCTTTGACCGTTTGCACCTGAGGATTTTACTGTGGCATAATTTTCACTGGAGGGCGTTAGAAAAGGCATGAAAGCTGTTAATTATTATTCTCACTACTTTCTCCAAATCTTCTACATCGACAAACAAATA